CGTTGGAGATGGCCTTAATGGCCTCATTTTTTCGTTCCTCTTTTTTTCTCTCATTTTTATCCTTACTGCTTATGCGGTGCATCTAAGTATTGCTACCATCTAATATGTGGAAAAAGCCAGCGAGTGCTGGATCCTAAAAAAATGTTCAAGAGTAGAAAAACCATACTAATATGCTACGCTAAGGACATTAATATGTTTGGCTGGTTGCCCTTTAAAATGCAGTCATGCATTTATCGTATTTCAAATTGACCAAGCCACTACGATAATGCTCTCCATGAAAATGAAAAGAAAGGCTCCTCTGCTTTGGAACGAGCTGATGTAACGACTAGCAGGGTTAGATGTGCCCTGAAACTGAAGTCTCGCTGTTGCTTCGCCATTCGCCGTCATACACAAATGATGTTATAGCCTTCGAAGTTGGCGTAGTGGCCGACATATAAAATGTTATCACCTGCAAAGTTGGCGTAGTTTAGTTGGGAGTGCCACACACAGAAATGCACGAAATCCACGATTCCAATCTGACGTACGAACGCCAGCAGCCATGTCACGTCTGCTAGTGGAGGTGTCAAACATACTCCCCGTCGTCACATCAAATTGCCCGGCCTCAAGATTGGGGGACTGAGTTTTGCTTCTGAGTTGTCTAATAAACTTCGTGTTTTTTTTCTTTCGGTGAAAGCTATCATGGCGGTGTATATTAATTGGAAATAATAGTTACATCATCTGTCTTAGGAATGTTCTGGATCCCCTCCGCATGTTTGGCTAAATCATACGCGGCTCTATTAGCATATCTTAGACAATGATGATTAAAAACAACCTAAGAGCAACTCTAGCAGACCCCACAAAACGCATGAAACTGCAAAATAACCATCAGTTTAAAGTTTTAGGCGAAAATAAAGACCAAAATAGAATCCCTAAACCATCCCAACCCGTAAAAAAATTTAAGGGGCACCGCAAACATCCCGACCGAACCCGTGAAAATAAGGATTTCACGGACGACCCGAGGACGACCTGTATACGTGAAAGACCGTTGGCGGGAGTCCAACTGCCAGCGAAAACTTCATGGCTTACTCCCGTCCGCCCGTCCCCGGCCGCAACGCCAGCCCTCACTGCCGCGCCCGCCAACTGCCCGCCCCGTCTGCCGAGCCCGCCGGCCGTCCGCCGAGCCTGCCTGCGGTTCTCTCGACGAGGAGCTAGCTAGCTAGCTAGCCAGCCAGCCGAATCGATTCGAATGGATCAACTAGCTAGCTAGCTAGCAGCTCAATGGATGTGCGTGTAGCCAGCGAATGGAAGAGTTCGGCCGCCGCCCGCGCTGCCCCGGCGGCCTTGGCCTCCGCCCACGCGCAGCGGCCGTCTGCTGCTGCAGTCGGCACTGCTGCTGGCCCCGGCTCGGTCAGGCTTGCTGGCGAGCACGAGGAGATGGTCGCGGAGGCAGGACGCGCACACGCCGAAAGGACGAAGGTCGAGATGGGAAGGGTGTGAGGAAGAAGATGGTATATTTAGAAAATATTTCTTTTTACGGGTTGATTATACGGGTTCTGTTCGACCGCAGCTAAAATCGACACTTATAATCTGTTTTCCTCAACCCGTAAAATACTTATGCAGGTCGTGGTTTTACGGGGTCTGCTAGAGTTGCTTTAAGTAAATCCCGACAAAGGAAGGTGCATTCCGCATATTAGATGGTTGCCGCAGGTCCAATAGAATTCCCACCATTTTGCATGACCTCGACAACATCCATACAGTCAAATTCGACCAGCATACTCCCCGCAAAAGAGAAGGGAAATCGATAAGTATACAATTGCATCCCACGTAGCAACGTCATGTTTGCCTCACTCATGAAGTCATGTTCATTTTCTCCGGTTAGTGGAGGCGGCTAAGCCTCCAACGTTGACAGCTTATTTTGTTGCACTTTTGTGCGTGCCTTCAAGTCCTATCCGGCTATATATAAATTCAATACCCAACAACCAACGACAGACAATCCTCTCACCCAAGCCAGCCCACAGAGGAGAAGCGAGAGGGGTAGCATGGCGGTTGACTATGGGAGCAGGGAGGAGAGGTGGAGCCTGGCCGGCACCACCGCGCTCGTCACCGGCGGTAGCAAAGGGATAGGGTAAGTATATCCACGCATGTACGCATTCACGCACGCATGCCTCTCTTAATTAATTCTACAAGTGCAGCCAATACTCGTAAATTACTTCCTAATCGTAATTTGTCCTAGGCATGCCATCGTGGAGGAGCTTGCCGGGTTTGGGGCGAGGGTGCACACCTGCTCCCGGAATGGGGTGGAGCTATAGAGGAGTGCCGTCGACGGTGGGGGGAGAAGAACCTGCAGGTCACCGTCTCCGTCTGTGATGTTTCCATACGTGCCGACAGGGAGAAGCTTATGGAAACAGTCCGAGAAACTTTCAATAGCAAGCTTGACATACTAGTAAGTCTATTACTAATTTAATTGGTCTGTCTAAGGCATATCCAAATGTGCTTTAGTTATTGCACAGCTAAGTGACTCAATCAAACAGAAGGAAAAAAAACTAATGAAAATGTTTGCACGAATCTTTACTTAAAATCAATGACATAGGCCTTAGATGTGCAATACTTATGGCACATTTAGATTTGCTTTAGAAAAACTGTAACTTAATCTACTAAGATAGTAAGGGGAAATACACAGGAGTGACTGGGTGCTCCATCCCCTATACGAAAATTAAATTTGGAAAATAACAGGAAAATTAAAAAAAAAAACTGAAATCTTTGGATCTCAAACTTGGGTGCCCAATCTACTCCCGTATGAACTTTTGTAGAAAAATATCAGGAAATGTATATGTGGCGAAGAAAATACAGTCCAAACTAAAATCCATCCGACCCGTTTTTTTTCTATAGATATGATTTTTTTTGCCTTTTTTGGTATTTTTTCACGAAATTTCACACGGCAATAGATTGGGCTCTTAGGTTTCGTATCCCAAAACCCCGCCCAAAAAATTGAAATTTACCGGTACTTTTTTTGAACTTAATGTTCATACGGGGGTGTGGAGCACCCAAGTGCTGCCAATCCTTTTTGGATAGTAAGCTCCTTCAATTTTGGTCCTCCTGGTGCAGTGGCGGCTGTGGGGCCGCTATAGGGTGTGTTGATGGTTGAGGTTCCTATTTTTTTTCTTTTCTATTATAGTTTTAAAATTTCTTTTGCCATATTTTAATTCATGAATATATATTAAAAAAATTTGAACATTGTTTAATACCTAAATAAATTTTTAATTTGATGAACATTTTTCTAAAAAATATTTTTAAATTTTGTGAATAATATTCGTAATCCATGAATATTTTTAGAATTTTTAATTATTTTCCAAAAATTCAAGTATTTTTAGTCTACAAAATTTAAAAATATATATTTTTGAAAAATCCATGAACATCTTTTGATTTAACAAACATTTTCAAATAAAGAAAGACAATTGGCTTTTTATAAAATTGCAGGGGAGCAAGCCAGTGGAGCAGGGAGGCGAACTGAGTGAGCGAGAGGTTTGTGGGTTGGCTCATGTGGATGTTACAACAACAATTCAATTCCATGGTTTCAACGTAGAATATGAGCTCCAAGGGAACCACACGCCGACCACCAGCCGACATCGAGGTCAAAATGTTTAAAGATATCACAACTCCACAACAAACAACTTCACTCTCCTCTCGGAATAAATACCGTCTCTAGCAGCACCCCAACACAATATACAAATGAAAAAACACCACCAGAACATAATTAAAACCCAGCCAACATTGATAAACTAAAACGAAACAACCGGCCATAATAATCTGCTAGAGAAAAAATGACTTAATCCCATGAGTGAATAACGGTGCTGCGCAGCGTGCATTAGCCTTTAGTAATAATAAGATACTAAGCTCCATAAATTTGGAGCCTCCTGGTGCATCGGGGTAGTAGGGGACGATATAGGCCCCACCTGAAAGGGTGTGTGCCGTTGGGCCAGCCGGGTTTTCGGGTTTTGAGAATGTATTACATGGTTTTTTTTGTGTTTTCAACAAAAATGTTGTTTTTATTTTGGTTTTCCCCGCTTTATCCTTTTCCTCTTTGTGTTTTCATTTTTCCTTATCTTTTTTATTCTTTCACATGCTATTTCATGAATATTTATTAAAAGTTGTGAGCATTTAAAAAGACTATGAAATTTTTCTAGAATTCGTGAACATTTTTTAATTCAAAAATATTTTTAATTCAAGAATGGTTTTAAGCTTCACCAGCATTTTTATATCTATGAACCTTTTTCAAATTCATGAACATTATTTGAAATTCATGAATATTTAATAAAATGGGTGTCTTTTTAATTCACAACATTTTAAAAAATCTAATATTTTTTACGAAAAATGTTAACTTATTTTGCTTTAATGAACTTCTTAAAATAAAAAAATATGGTATCCAATTTTTTATGAACCAGTAGAGCGGCAGAAAAAAGCTAAGGGAGCGAGCTAACTTAGCGAGAGCTTCATGGGCCAGCCCATATAAGCGTTATAACAATAATTGCACGGTCACAGCGTCGAATAAGACCTCCAGGGACTCACAACCACTACTGTGTGACGCCAAGGCCGAAATATGTAAGGACTCCACCACCCAGCTTACAACTCCACTCTTCTTTCAGAACAAATACCATCTCAAACAGCAACCTAACATGATAGACGAATGAAATAAAAATATAATTAAAACCTAAGGCAGTGTAAACAAAACCATGACATAAAAACCGACCACAATAACTTTTCCTCGAGAAAAAAGAGTTGATCCGATGAGTGAAGAACGACACAGCAAAGCACGCATTAGCCTCTAGTAAATTATATCCATAAAAATTAACCATGTGACATGCTCGTCCTGCCTATAACTAAGAGAGGCCCAGCTCGCTCTAAGTAGGGTATCTGTAAAGGATCATTTTTTTTCCGTTTTTGTTGAATTAATTGCTGTCACTATATATGTAGGTGAACAATGCAGGGCAATTGCTCTTCAAGCCCACTACTGAATGTACAGTGGTGGAATACTCAAATCTGTTGACCACCAACTTGGAGTCGAGCTTCCATCTCAGCCAGCTCGCACACCCTCTTCTCATACACGCTTCTATTGCCGGAGGAGGCAGCATCATCAACATGTCCTCCATTGGAGGCTCAATTGGCTATGCAGGCTCCGCAATTTATGCTACCACAAAAGGTAAACATGTACTTGCCAAGATATACAATAGATAATATTATTAATACATTATAATGGATATTTGTAGATGTTGCTAGTTATAGTGTGACTCTTTTAGCAATAACACTATATATAACGGTATTGAATGCCCTACTGTGTCTCTTTTAGTTATAGTTCGATTGAATGTATTGTCACGAAAAAATGTAGAGGAGAACCTTGTCTTGTCTCGCCCGCTCCCGCGAATGGGGAGGCCAACCCTTGCGCCGCCCACCTCCAGCCTCCCCCGCCCCCTCCCCCTCCCTCGCCACCGTCGGAACACGCCGTCGGGCAAAGCCCGGCCGGCATCGGTGGTGGCATGGCCTCTTCCCCTTCCTCGCGGTGGGCTGGCGCGAGACAGCGACACAACGCGGATACAACCGAGGCGACACGGCGGTGGTGTCCTGGTGTGGCGGCGCGGGCGGCTACTCATTGGGGGCGTGGTGGGGTGTGCCTGCGTGGGTGGCGGTTGTGGGCGTCCCGACCTAGATCTGGATCGGGTGGATGCTCTAGCCAGCTACCAGGAGGCGGCGCGGGCTGAGGCAGCATGGGCCGGCTGTCCCTGGTGGCTTTGGCTACTGGAGGGGACCGGCGTGGCGGCGTGCTCCTTGTTGGGGTGGTCTGGCGGCTCTATGGCTATGGTAACCACGTCCGGGGAGCAGATGGTGCGGATCGATGGGTAGGCGGCGCTTGTGTTCGGTGTCGTGTCTCTACCAGTGGTGCTGGCTGGCGGTGCAGCATGCCTCCTCCCCTGGTTCTAGGCCGAAGTAGAGCTGCGAGCTGGCCTCCTGCTCGGCGGATCTGGACGGTGCTCGGGGTGAGTTAGAGTTCGCGCCCCGGGAAGGTACGCTTGGGATCGTCCCGGGAGGTGCCCGTGGGTACGGTGGATGTTGGTGGTGGTCGGGGCTCCGCTACACTGTTCGGCAGATCAGTGTCAACGGCTACAGTCAAGGCATCGTGCGAGCGGGCTCGGCGACGGCCATCGGTCATCACGGAGTAGGGTCTTCCCCGTTCATCGGGTACGGCTGGGGATCCAGGCGTGGATGCCTCCTACTGTGGAGGCGTCCACCCGTACTTTGTGGCTGATGCCGGGATAGGAGCGAAAGGTGTCGCCTTTTCTCCTCCTTCCGTGGCAGATGCACTGTGATCTGGACGGTTGGTGGAGTCCTGGACATGGATGCCGGGGTGGCGGCCCTGGATGGCGGTCCGCATGGTTGGCTCTCCGGCGGGCATGTCGGGGATGGCATTACATCTTGGTCGTGTGGGCGGTGAGAGGTGGTGCACCGGGTGGCTCAGGTGTGCTCTTTGTCTCTGACGGTGGTCGAGCCCCAATCCGGATCTGGAAGATCTATGCTCCTCACGCTTGCCCTGGAGACCTCGGGGTGACGCGGGGGAGCTGTCGAGCGAAAGCTTCGTGCTCTGTCGCTGACAATGACGACGCTCGCGGGCGTCGTTATCTTCTTGAAGACGTCATCATGGCGCTCCTCTCCATGTCCGGGTTCTGGCTAAAAACCTCTGTCTGTTGTAGACTCGGCAACGACGACGCCTAATGCCATTATCCTCCTGGGGCGTTGTTGTGGAGCTTAGGTGTTATAGGGCTTAGCGCGGTGTTGCTTTAGCTTATCTTGTACTTTATTTCGGTAGCGTAGTCGTTCTGCGTGATCCGATCATCTTGGGATCGGCAGTGTTTGGGGGCCATCCATCTCCTTCTATCTTTCGGTCGTGTACTCTGAATGATTGTTGATTTATATATAAAGTGGGGCAAAAGCTTGTGTCAAAAAAAATATTGCCCCAACAAAATGGTCCATTGTTTCTATGAATTCTGAAGGGAAAAAATGGATCGATGTCCTTGTTTTTTTTTCTCTCATTGTTGTGCTTCTCGTCCTTTATCATGTAGGTGCAATGAACCAACTTACAAGGAGTTTGGCCACCGAGTGGGCCTCTGACAAGATTCGTGTGAATGGCATCGCCCCAGGATTTGTCACAACCGACATGCTTAAAGATGTAAGCAACGACCTAGCATATATTTTGATTAAAGAACAACACACGAATTTAATTTGATTTGGTAGCTCTAAGATAGTAAGTTCACTTGCATGCATCCATTTTATTAATTATTTATAAAATACTTACAAAGTATATCTGAAGCCATCATCTTGGCAACATCTGTTGCTAGTCTTGTCTATTTGATGAAGAGGTGCCGATTGTCTGAGCCAAATACCAAATAGACATCGCACCAAAGCCTAACATCTAAAGCTGGAGGCCCCAACCAAGCCGCATTGCTGGGTCTGGCCCACACACCGGTCTGACGCACTCTCAGAGGTCACCGCCGCCGTCTACCACCGATCCATCTCTAGAGCAGGTACTGACACATCGCCCTTGCCAGGCCTGCTATTGACGCCACCATGGCACCAGACAACAACACCATCCTGCACGTATCCATCAACACGCGCTTGTCGCTGAAACTTCGCAGCGCCATGCCACCGAGATCCGCCGTCAACCTTGTGGTAGATGTAACACCGCTCCTCCTCTTGTCCCCTCTGATGATGTTATGTACCTAGGATAGGGTCATGGACCTATCTAGGATACCATACCCAAGGACATCCTTAGACGAAGCTACCTTCCAGTCGACCAAGAAGAACTCCACTCGACCGGCTAGAAGACACTCGACGAACCTAAAGACACTCGACCATGAAGACTCACTCGACCACCAGGAGTTCAGGATCTACTCTGTATCCAAACGGTATGTAATTAAGTAGTCTTAATGGTCATGATCACACTTTATGTAGGGCGTTACCAGTAACGCCCGGTCTTAATGTACTTTAACCCTCTGCTACGTGGGTTGGCTGGGGTCCTGGCGTCCTCTATATAAGCCACCCCCCTCCACTGGTAGAAGGGTTCGCACCCCTGTAACTCATATACACATAAACCAGTCGACCGCCTCCGGGCTCCGAGACGTAGGGCTATTACTTCCTCAGAGAAGGGCCTGAACTCGTTAAACACTCGTGTGTACAACTACTCCATAGCTAGGATCTTGCCTCTCCATACCTACCCCTATTCTACTGTCAGACTTAGAACCACGACAGTTGGCGCCCACCGTGGGGCAGGTGTCTTAGCGACTTTTTGGAGAAGTTGCAATTTGTCCGATTGCCTTCATCATGGTTTCCGGCGGAGCTCTGGTCGAGGGCCGCGAGATCCGTCTCGGTGCGCTCGCTTTCATCGCCGACGACTCCGCTTGGCTCCAGGAGACACCACTCGACATCGACGCGTTCCCCGTCCGCGGGGCGACGCACTTTCGGGCGTGTGTCCGCGGCGTCCTGCTGCGGCAGCCGTCGACTCCTTACCGGTCGACTCCTGTGCTGTCTTCCCTTCCTGTCTCCCGCTAGCGCAAGCGTTCCGGTCGGTCGAGGCTCCAGCGATGGGTGAGACACGCAGTGGCTCGCCAATCGGCCACCACCCAAGTCGCGGCAATTGAGCCCAACGAATCTCTCTACGGCCTGTTCGACCTGTCGACTGGCTCCGTAGAGACTGCATCCGAGTGCGATAGCAGTGATCCGGCGGCGGAGGTCCTGATGGTCAACGGGCCTCGTAGCCCTCCCGGTTTCCCCCGCAATGACGGGATGGACGATGGGGGCGACCCCGCTCAGGCCCACGAAGAGTATCAGCCCGAGCCACTCACTTCTCAGCAGAGGGAAGAACTTCGCCGCCGGAACATGGATGCCCTGCATACTCCCATTGCAGGAGAAACTCCTGAGGCTCGTGCCCTGGAAGAGGCGCGTTTGGCCAACCTGGCTGAACGCACTCGACTGGAGAACCTCCAGCGAGCACTCGACGAGCGTGCGCGTCAGCGAGTACCCGACTCCCGTCGACGTCAGCTCTTTCCGCAACCGACTCAGATATATCGAACCCCGATTCAAAATTTGGCAGCTGCAGCCCGTATAGCGGAGTCAATTCAGCCCTCTCAGTCGGAGGCATGAAGAGGCTTGATGCAGATCAGAGATTTGCTCCGGGCGGCAGGAGATCAGAATTCAGTTGTGTCGCAGTCGCGCAACAGGATTCATAGTCGATCCGTCGCTGCGAATACTGTTCAGTCGGCTCACAGCCCAAGGTCGCCTCCGAGGCGAGTGGGACGTGAAGGCCTGCGGGACCACTATGATGATCGTTTTGATCGTGATGATAGGCGTCGAGTGCCCACTCCTCCCCCGAGAAGTGGGTCTAACGCCCATCGGCAGCAAGATGACAGGCGCCATCTCAGTGTTGGGCGGAGAGCTCCAGTCGAACCCAGAGAGCTGGGCTTTGACGCGAGATCCATCATCGTGCAAGGTTTGGTCGACCGGAACAGAGCTCATAGAGGTGGCCATGACAGAGATGTGCCCACAAGCAGCCGAGTCCATGTTTCAGGTCCAGAATGCTTTAGCAGAGCCATCAGAGTCGCAGTGATACCCCCCAACTTTAGGTTGGCGACTGGAGTAAGTAAGTTCACCGGAGAGTCTAAGCCTGAAACTTGGCTTGAAGACTACCGAGTGGCTGTACAAATTGGTGGCGGTAATGATGAGGTGGCCATGAAGCATTTGCCACTTATGCTAGAGGGTTCGGCCAGGGCGTGGTTGAATCAGTTAGCTCCTAGCAGCATTTACACCTGGGAAGATCTTTCCCGAGTGTTCGTCAGGACGTTCGAGGGAACTTGCAAGCGACCGGCTGGATTGACAGAGCTGCAAGTTTGCGTACAAAAGTCGAGTGAAACATTGAGAGATTACATCCAGAGATGGATCACTTTGCATCATACTATAGAGAATGTGTCAGACCATCAAGCGGTATGCGCCTTCAAGGATGGTGTCAAGAACATGGAGTTGAGCCTGAAGTTTGGTCGAACTGGAGATATGACCCTGAGTCGGATGATGGAAATAGCCACCAAGTACGCCAATGGCGAAGAAGAGGACCGACTCCGGAGTGGCAAGTACAAGCCAAGTCAGACGGAGAAAGGAAACTCCAGTCGGAAGCAGAAGCGAAAGGCCGAACCGGCTGCTCCTGGAGAGGCTCTGGCCGTGACTCAGGGCAAATTCAAAGGGAAGCCCAAAGGATCTTGGAACCCCAAGAAGGTAAAGGATAAGGAAGGTAATGACGTGATGGATCTACCGTGTCATATCCACACGAAGAAAGACGAAGAGGGTAACTTCATCTACCCAAAGCATACCACTCGCCAGTGCCGGCTCTTAATCCAGCAGTTTCAAGGAAAACAGCCGAAGGACAAAGAGAAGGAGTCGGACAAGGCTGAGGACAAGGAGGATAGTGATGGAGAGTACCCTCATGTCAACTCCACTCTGATGATTTTTGCTGATGTAGAGAGCAAAAGTCGACTAAAAGTGATCAACCGTGAGGTCAATATGGTCGCCCCGGCGACACCTAGCTATCTGAGATGGTCGCAAACTCCCATTACTTTTGACCAGTCTGATCACCCTACTCACATTGCCACCCCTGGGAGGCAAGCGCTGGTGGTCGACCCAGTCGTCGAAGGCACTCGACTGACGAAGGTATTGATGGATGGCGGTAGTGGATTGAATATACTGTATGCAGAGATGCTCAAGGGAATGGGCATTCCGATGTATAGGCTCAGTTCCAGCAACATGAGTTTTCACGGAGTCATCCCTGGAAAGAAGGCTGAGTCACTCGGCCAAATAGCTCTGGATGTAGTGTTCGGCGACTTGAAGCATTTCCGTAAAGAGAAGCTAACATTTGAAGTCATGGATTTCTGAAGCGCCTACCACGCCATTTTGGGAAGACCAGCCTATGCCCGCTTCATGGCTCGGCCATGTTATGTGTACCTCAAATTAAAGATGCCTGGCCCCAAAGGCGTGATCACTATCACTGGCAGCCGGAAGAAAGCAGAAGAGTGTTTCCAGAAAGGCTCAAAGATTGCGGATGACCAGATAACAGTAGTAGAACTGGAGGAATACAAGAAGAATGCAGATCCGAGTGATTTGCTGCGGGCCAAGAAGCCCGCCACAGAGTCAGCATTTCAGTCGTCTGGGGAGACGAAGCCAGTTCATATCCACCCGACTGACCCCAATGCAGCTCCGACCCATATTTCCATAACACTCGACTCTAAATAGGAAGAAGCGCTCATCCAGTTCCTCCGTGAGAACTGGGACATCTTTGCATGGAAGCCAGCTGACATGCCGGGTGTTCCCAGGGGGCTGGCTGAGCATCGCCTTAGAGTCGACTCAAAAGCGAAACCTGTTAAAGAACATCTTCGACGGTCCACCGTTCAGAAGAAAAAAGCCATTGGCGAGGAGGTGGCTCGACTCCTTGCAGCAGAGTTTATCCGAGAGATATACCACTTCGAGTGGCTCACCAATGTCGTCATGGTTCCCAAGAAGGACAACTCCCTTCGCATGTGCATTGATTTCAAAAATATCAATCGGGCCTGCCCAAAAGATCACTTTCCTCTCCCTCGCATCGACCAAATTGTCGACTCGACCGCAGGGTGCGAGAGATTGTCTTTTTTAGACGCTTATTCCGGGTATCATCAGATCCGTCTGTATGGACCTGACGAAATCAAAACAACTTTCATCACTCCATGTGGGTGGTTCTGCTATATCACCATGCCATTCGGCCTCAAGAATGCCGGAGCCACGTTCATGAGAATGATTCAAAAGTGTTTACTCACTCAAATCAGTCGGAATGTGGAAGCGTACATGGATGATATCGTGGTCAAGTCGCGAAAGGGTTCCGACCTATTGACTGACCTAGCTGAAACATTTGCCAATCTCAGAAGGTATGATATCAAGCTCAATCCATCGAAGTGCACATTCGGAGTACCTAGCGGAAAGTTACTCGGTTTTCTCGTTTCAGAACGAGGAATCGATGCTAACCCAGAAAAAGTTGGCACCATACTCCGAATGAAGCGCCTTGTGCGTGTGCACGACGTCCAGAAGCTTACTGGATGCTTGGCCGCGTTAAGTCGACTCATCTCTCGCCTCGGTGAAAAGGCATTGCCCCTTTACCGA